ATTTAGGGGAAAAAAAATCATATTTTGAGTTGTTATCATTCAAATCAACTGATTAAAAACATGAAATTATACATAAATTCTACAAATAAGTACTATTTTACAACTGTCCCCATGTTTTCGGTCAGTCCTGTCACGTTTACATAAAACTCAACATAAAATGTGTGTAATGCGCCTTTAAAGGTAAGGTATGACTCAAAGGTGAAGCTGACACTGATCAAGTGTGAGTTCTGTCATTGAATTGTATGATTTTTTTTAAATCCAAAACATGTCTAAAAAAGTTACTGAAATTCCTTGATTGCATGTTAACAGTTTTTATGCTGGCAGGCTGAGTAAGGGCAGTTTAAAATGGCCGACCGTCAGGCTCTGTCACATCCCTGTGTGTGAGGGCCTGGCAGTCCTGTTACACGGCCTTACAAATGAATGGTATTGTTGTTTTTTATTACCTTTATTGCATATAATATGTATTTAACACATGCCATGTGACAGGGCCTGACAGTCGGCCATTTTAAATTGCCATTACTCAGCCTGCTAGCATGCTAGCATAAAAACTGTTAACATGCAATCAAGGAATTTCAGTAACTTTTTTAGACGTGTTTTGGATTTTAAAAGTATGCTCATCGACAAATTTTTTACCTAGGCCTAGCACTGCATATTAGTATATTAATTGTATTTCAATACATATGAAGAGTTTATTGGCAAAAACAGATAATTCTCTGAAATCATGTTTTTTCATTGTGCATTCCAATTAATCTCAATCAAACTTTAATTGGGTTATTTTGATTAGGTAAAAAAAAAACTAATAAATTACAGCTAACTAACACAAATAAAACACAATAAAAACATGATTACATAATAAAAATCTATTAGTCATCTGTTTTTGCAAATAAACTCTTCATATATAGATGTAATTGTCATCTATATAAGCTTTATGTAATGAAGACTGTAATTATTCCAATTCATACAGATACCATGGTAATATCTACATTATTACCTAGGAAATTACATGCAATTTCCGTTAGTACCATGTAATTTCCTAAGTAATAATGCAGATATTACCATAGTATTGCCCTGTTATTACTGAGCCATAATATTACGGGGTACCACAGTTACTTTACTTTGTGTTATTCAGTTAAATGTCTATACATTTGCTGTATCATAGTAAAATATGCTTTATATATTCTGAAGTTATATTTATATTTATTACACCCGATACGCGTAGCAAAACACAGGGTTATTGTTTTCTCTCCTGTCTGAGTTTGTGCCATTCAAGTTGGTAATTGTTATTGTTAAATTAATTCTAACATAGTAGTAGTACCATTACAATTTTGTTTTCACTCCTGTCTGCGTTTGTGCCATTGTGCAATTCTAGTTGTTTATTTTTATTGTATCTGGCCATGTTATTGTTAAATGGAATTTTAATAAATTGTTAAATGAAATATGTTTTTATATTGAAATAAAATGAAATTCGTTTATTAATTTGTCAGTCATATTCTAATGAATTAGGCCCTTATTATATGTCCTTGGCTGAACTTTACCATAGTCTAATATTACATTAACATTAAAATTATAATAATAATTTAAAATAGGAATGCTTATCAAAACTTAAATAAAGAACACAAAACATAACTTTTTCTGCATCAACGAAATCCATAAAGTCAGTCCTGTCACGCCTCAGTCAGTCCTGTCACACAGGACATTATGTTATAAAAATGTAATATTTGAGGAAATATTGATGAATCAATCTCTGTAACTGTGTAGATGAAGGCTGGAGTATATATCCACTACTATGTTTTTGAAAAAATCTCCTATGTAAAGGCAGTTTTTTTTACAACTATATGAGTGCCTGGCGGGGTATTCTGTGATTTTGTGTGCTACAGTTGACCGAAAAGTTGCTTATATTTCTTATAGAAATTACAAAACCATGTTAGATACAATCAGGGACATGTGACCAATAAGAAAATGTTATTTGTATCAAAGAAATTCATTAGGAAACCATTCTAATATATACAAATTTGTCTGTGACAGGGCCTGACATTTTAGGGGTGAAATGCGTATAAAAATGTATTTATTTCAATCATAAAAACATGCTGAGATGCCACGATATGTGTTTCATATAGATTAACATGTCCTCCATATGACTCAACGTTCAGATTTTAAAATAAGATATTTTTTTCACCCAAGATTTTTACAAGTGGAAATGTACGTTTCTGGTAGAATGTCCCAAAAGCAAAAACAAGGAAGAAATTGATTATAAATAAACCATGACTGCATAACAGCAAAAGTAGGTGGCGATATGCACACAGGATGCAATGCGCCAAAAACAGAAGAAGAAGAAAACAGCAAACATGGCCTACAAATATTTAATTCATAAATTGTATTTATTCATGAATGCATTAATTTGCCCCGCTCTGACATTTATGAAATATATAGTATTTGTACTAAGAAAAATAAACCTTTATACATAATTGATTGGCTAAGTGCATGCTATTGTGGTTTGTATTCATTTTTGAAAGCAAAATAAAAACCACTGCAAGATAAAACTATACAGTCTATGGATAAAACACAATTTGTAAATGGACTTTTGACTCACAATAGTTACTGTGCTTGACAACTAGGCCCAGTCGCTTTGTGTCATCTGTACACTAACAGATGTTTTCTGCAGATGAATTCATTGGTTGGTGACATGTCATGCAGTGATAGCAGACAGTATCCTGCAGCGTGAGAGATACTAAGTATACAGGTTTTGTTTTCTCTTTTTTTATTTTATTTTATTTTTTTGATTTACATGTTCTTAAAATCTTGTTTTATATATTTTTTGTCCTTGAAATGTCCATAACTGGAGGTATATAATATAATATAATATAATAATATGTTTTATATTTGAATGTATTTTAAAATGTAGCTTATTCTTGTGATGCAAAGCTGAATTTCCAGCATCATTACTCCAGTCTTTAGTGTCACATGATCCTTCAGAAATCCTTTTAATATGCTGATTTGCTTCTCAGTTATCATCAGTTATTATTGGTACTCAGTTATTAATATTCTTATTATCAATGTTGAAAACCGTTTAGAAAGAAACAATATATAATTTTATATATTTTTAACTTAATATTTTTTTTTAAATCGTGTTACTGTTTTTACTGTATTTCTAATCAAATCAATGCATTCTAGGTGAGTATGAGATCATTCATTTAAAACATAAATAAAACTTGACATAGATTTATTAGGCTGTTTATTTCCTGTAGTGAATATATATATATATATGTATATAGATAGATAGATAGATAGATAGATAGATAGATAGATAGATAGATAGATAGATAGATAGATAGATAGATAGATAGAATAAAGAAGTCATACAAATTAACAAAATTATATATATATTTATTTTGTGAAAAAAAGTACAATTAATTTACAATGTACAATAGGGAACAAATAAATATATTTACACAATTTGTATACAAATAGATAGATAGATAGATAGATAGATAGATAGATAGATAGATAGAATAAAGAAGTCATACAAATTAACAAAATTATATATATATTTATTTTGTGAAAAAAAGTACAATTAATTTACAATGTACAATAGGGAACAAATAAATATATTTACACAATTTGTATACAATAAGTCATGTCCGATTATCACAGAGCTACTACTGTACACATGCCCAGGACACTCGCTTCCATGTCTTTTCCATGTGAAGCCCAGCCTCTTTCACAAGCATCCTCAACTCCTGCAGAACTCTGATGGAAAGCTGTTGCTTTGAGTCACTAAGTGTTTTGAGTTTTGCTCACCAGGGCCTCCACAAAGACTGTGGCTGGTTCTGGAACAGAGCTCTTCTCAGAGTCCGGGGTTGGCAGGAGGGAGAAGAGCCAGTGGGTCGCACTGGAGTGGGGGAGCCCACCGAGACCTGAACATGAGGGCCTGGGGCTACAGGCAGAGCAGGGGCTGAGAAACTGAGAGAGGACGATGATGACGAAGATGAAGAGTCACTGGAGAGTGGAGAGATGGTGGGAGGGAAAGGGAAATGGCAGGGGACAGAGAGGTATGTGGGAGAGCTAGAGAAGGGAGGGGAGCTACTTGTGTAACAAGGAGAGGGTGGAGGAGAGAGGGAGTATGGAGGGGAGAGGTAGGGATGTGTCATGGCCTGTCCTGTGGGATGGAGCATAAAAGATTGAGGATACAAACTATTGGTGTATGAAAATGGCTCTGTGCTGGTTCTCATGGGTCCTATCGCATGGACGTCCGTCCTGCATGTCAACTCCGCATTTGGGATCCATGGACGGTAGGCAGCTTGGCTGGAAACTCTACACTGGGAAAGAGTACTGCTGTAGGAGTCAAGGTGGTGACACAGGCCTTGAACAAAGCTGTCCCGCTGTGAAGGCTCAACACATTCGATGAAACTGGACAGACGGGAGATACACTCCTTAAAACCGGCTTTGTAGATAGTATTGGAGGGCATCTGCTTGTGGACATTGATGGGCTCAGGGACTGAAGTGAAGGGTATGTGGGGTCTCCTCGAGAGCAGAGTGTAAGCATCATGTGGGTCTGAGTCTTTGTTGGAGTTACCTGAGGTGGAGGGTGAGGTTAAGGAGAGCCGAGGCATGAAGGTATAAAAGGGTGGGGGGTGGGGGATTAGGAAAAGTAAAAAGTGGAGTGTTCAGGTGAGATAGAATAACATGAGATGTTGATTTAGTTGTTGGTTTAGGGTTGTTATTGAAGGTTCATTCAAATGGAAGTTTGAGAACAGAATCAAGAAATTGAGAAAGATCACACATTTAAGCAGAGTTAAAGAAGGAGGATTTTAAGAGAAAAAAATGGGTTTTGTTTATTGATTGTCAAAATGAGAAGTCAGAGAGTGAGGTATATGCTCAACACATTCGATGAAACTGGACAGATGGGAGATACACTCCTTAAAACCGGCTTTGTAGATAGTATTGGAGGGCATCTGCTTGTGGACATTGATGGGCTCAGGGACTGAAGTGAAGGGTATGTGGGGTCTCCTCGAGAGCAGAGTCGGAGCGTAAGCATCATGTGGGTCTGAGTCTTTGTTGGAGTTACCTGAGGTGGAGGGTGAGGTTAAGGAGAGCCGAGGCATGAAGGTATAAAAGGGTGGGGGGTGGGGGATTAGGAAAAGTAAAAAGTGGAGTGTTCAGGTGAGATAGAATAACATGAGATGTTGATTTAGTTGTTGGTTTAGGGTTGTTATTGAAGGTTCATTCAAATGGAAGTTTGAGAACAGAATCAAGAAATTGAGAAAGATCACACATTTAAGCAGAGTTAAAGAAGGAGGATTTTAAGAGAAAAAAATGGGTTTTGTTTATTGATTGTCAAAATGAGAAGTCAGAGAGTGAGGTATATGGAGTTATTTTGGGTGAGATTGAGGAATTGAGAATAATAAAAACAGGAGGGGAGAAAGAAAGAGACCGAGACACAATCGATTAGAATCATCAAACGTAGAGGCATTATGTGCAACTCAAATTGACTTTATCTAGCTCTACACAACTATAAGGCCAATAATATAGTGTTTATATAAAATAGAGCCCACTTTTTAAAAGTTACTCAATTATAGACAGAAAACTTACCTTGACTAGGCCTATCTCTCGCAACTGTGGCTTTTGTCCGAATGTATTCAACAGTTAATTCCAGAATTTCAGCCTTCTCCAGTTTAGGGTTTTGAAGTCGCTGTAAAAGTTTCATTATGTTACTGAAACATTTCATTAGGCTGTTTATTTATATCAAAAAAGGAAGAGCTGGATTAAAAACTGAAAATGTATATATATATATTTTTTTCTTACTAAATATCCATCTAAATATAATATTTTCTTACCGTGTCTAGAGTGTTATCCAGGAGAAGCGTTCGCAGCTCATCTAAACGCTGGTTAATCCGGTCTCTCCGTTTCTTCTCTATAACCGGCTTCAAGATCTAGACGAATCACATTACATATTTAATTTACATTTAAAATGTAAAGCCCTAAAACTTTAGTTTTAATTAAAAAACAAACAAAAAAAAACCGTAGCAATCTTTAAAAACTAAATCTGCACGATATCATAAAAATGTCTATTGAGAAAGAATTAGGCCTATAAACCATGCATTTAAACTACTCACTCTTTTCGTTGGTCGTCGACTTGGCATTTTTGGAATAACCATGATCTGCTGAAAACGTATATTCTAGTTGGTCTGTGTTTCTCAAGAAAATTCTTCTACTGTGGTAAAGGTCCTGGCAAACTCTCGCTTTTATTGGGGATGCTGGCTTGTCATTGGTGACAAGGTGTCAATGACGTTTCTAACCGTGTGGTCGTATCCCCCTTATGGTCGTATATTAATATATTCCAAGATAAGAAACTATAAATCGATTAAGTTAACAGTTACCAAACATTTTGTGTTATTTGCACTTATTTAACAGTCAAATATAACAACAGTTCTAGTGTGTCTTCTATGAAGCTTTAGGTCTATGTGTGGATATAAACGCAATGAAAACGGCATATATCTCAGCTGCCATTAGAAGTTTGCTTAGAATAACCAGTAATGTAGTCATAGAACGCTTATGACTTTATGGACTAGTTTGTTCGTTTTATTGCGCCAATAAGTCAATACAGAGCCATTTCAGTGCATTCTGAACGCAAACTTGACACTCAATTCACCAACACGCTCCTCCCGTTCACAGATCACGACCTCAAGCCCACCAGATATAACTATACTTTATAACCATATACTAGTACGTTCAGAAACAATGATGTTTCCTTTTTTTCTGAAAGTTTGTGTTTTAATATAATTCACGACGATAAAAAAATGCATGCTCAATGTGGTCTATGCATTTATTTATTTATTTATACTATTTTTTAGCTTCAGATGCCATATAGTCTATATTTTGTTCAGTGTAGCCTACATGACAGATAGCTAATGTTGCTCTATGATTAATTTCACACACTACTTTGTTTTGTTTTAAGCGTAACTTTCGTGGAACCAAAAACCATGTGTAGGTGCTATGGGACACTTCAGATTTTTCTCGTGGGAACAGAATATTTTGGCACGGCAGATGTGTAAAAACGAACACACTCACACCAACACCGCCAGACTACTCAAACATCTCGGAGGCGCTTAAAATTTCATTAGATGCTCAACGATTTTCGTGCATTGCCTTCACACCTGAAGCGGGTCGACACTCATATCGATGCAGTGCAAAAACGAATAAACACCAAATAAACATAGCCTAGCTGTCTGATCTGAATTTAAAATGCGTAATTTAATCGGTATACTTTATATGCATATAGCCTACTGAAAGCCAACTTGTTAGGCTATCTAGGCTACAGCTTTAATATGCAGGCCAACATGTGCTCTTGTTCCGAGTTTCCGCTTTTCCACTGTGAGTGTTCTTTAAACAAAGAAAGGAAATATTTCATAATTCTAAAGTCTATAAAATAAATATTGACCAATATTTTTCAAGGAGAAAAGCAAATCGATGTTGCAAAACGCCTTGCACTGGATAATCCTTGGCAACAATGAACAACGAGGTCAAATGGAAGACATGATGCTCTTCATAAATTGACAATTTTCCCTTGATAAATTATTGGCCTGTATACATTTTTGACCCCTGCATGGGCATCCAACCTTAAGAAATATCCCGAGGGAAAGTTTCATGTTTGGTCAAGTAGAGTGGTGGCATACATGGTTGTGCATACACATCGGTAGTTGGTTTTTTTGGTGTTTGGCTTAGTGTTGTTAGAATCATTATTATACTCTTATACCTTTTGTTCTTTAATATTTTGAATTGTTTTTAGCTTTACTTTTTGTTTTTCATTTAAATGTTAAGTTTTGACATTTTGTTGTATGCATTTGTCATTTTTATTTAATTTCTTTATTTTAAAAATGTGTATAAGTAGTATTTATAAAGTTTATATATATATATAGCCTATATGTCAGTGGTTTCCCACTAGGGGGCCTCAGTAAACTTCCAATTGTGCTGCAAGATAGGCCTAGCTCATAATGCTAATAAAGATCCGCCTTAGGTTTGGTCATATTATGCAAATCAGTAATGCCGAACGGTCCAAGTCCATTTCGCTCTAAAGAAGCACTTTACAATTCATATGGGTGTCCATATTAATAGGTAACATGTATGTGGTTTTTAACGTTTCCACATAAGACCTGCTTAATTAAACCCATTTCAAAGACAATAAAAAGTCAATAAAAATATGTGAATGTGTGCTAGAGCAAATGAAATAAGGTAAGTTTGTCACTATTCATAAAAATTGCTGTAAACACCAGATTAGTGTTCTACAGAGCCTTTTCTTGTGCTATAAAGAACATTTTTTATTTTATTTTTTAATTAATATTAGTATTTTAAAATATTATTAATTAGCCTATTTTTCTATCTTTTACCCCTCTGCCTGCCTGGGCTTACTAAACCCTTTAATTAACCAAATTGTGTCAGTTAGGTATTTTTTATTACTGATATGGGAAATCAGCAAAAATGACAAGGCTTTAACAACACTTATGACTCAATATTGATGTGAATAAATGAACAAATAAAACACAAGAAAGAAACACAAAATAGAGTATATAGGCCAAGTTCCAGTGAAAGTCCTTTATGATACAGTCTGGTTGTATTACACTCTTAAAAATAAAGGTGCTTAAAAAGTTCTTCACAGCGATGCCATAGAAGAAACATTTTTGGTTCCACAAAGAACCATTCAGTCAAAGGTTCTTTAACCCTTGTTTGGTGTTCATACTTTTGTTACTCAGCCAGTGTTCGTGGGCCTGGATGACCTGCTGCAGTTTTGGGTTTTGAATTCAACACAATCAAAAATTATATGTTAAAATACTCAACAGATGTTTACTTCATCCCAATTACAAGCAATATAAACATCATATATGGTCAAAATGTGCCTTTTACCTTTGTTAGATCACATTTATGAATTAAAGTGCTACAACCTTGTGGGGGAATGGCAGGGGCAGAAACACAAAACTCACACTTACACTTACACTCACACTCTTACAGACTCTCTCTCTCTCTCTCTCTCTCACACACACACACACACACACACACACACATAAACACACATAGAAATACTAATAGCAAGCCCAGACAATAGGAGTGAAGGTACACAGGACCTAAAATTTCCACTCTTTTATTAGTACTCTTTTATGTACTGTATGTAATATAAATGCGTAAGGGGG